TTGCTGGGTGTCAGGAGCATATTTTTAATGTCCTCACAGATTTAAAAAAACACTTCCAAAAGAACACTAACTATTCAATAGATGTGCTCAAGGGGCTGAAAACCAACAAATACCCTAGAATGGATGAACTGTGCCTCATGGTACTTAGGGAGACAAGGGAGAAGATATGTGCAGCACTGACAGACTGGAATCAACAACAACAACTTGCATTTATATAGCCTCCCTCACGCAGAGTAGCGTCCCAGAGCTCTTGACAACAGCAGAGCACGATGTCGAGCCAGGGGGAGGTGACTGTAGGCACTGTTGAATAGGAGGTCTTCAGATGCGACCTGAAAATGGGGAAGGAAGGGGCAAGGCGGAGGGATAGAGGAAGAACATTCCAGAGTTTTGGGGCATAGTGGCTGAAAACGCGGCCACCAATGGTAGAACAGAGGGCGTGGGGGTTCATGCAGAAGGCCGGAGCCAGTCGAGCAGAAACAGCGGATTGTGGGTTGGTGGTAAGCAGGTTGGCGAGGTAGGGAGGTGCCAGGGCATGAAGAGATTTGAAAATGAGTGTGAGAATCAAGCAAATGTTGTTTCATATTCAGGAGTGGCATCAGGAATTATACTCAGCAACTTTGCAGACCATTTCCAAGATGCAGAATTGAGATTCAATACACCTGAGAGGAAAAAGGTGGGTGGGGGCTCACCTGAAACACAGTCTTTGATAAAGGACTAACTCAACATATTTAGAGATGATGTGTTAATTATCACTCATATCATAAATTGAAATTTTTATCCCAGATTACAACTTACATTAAGATAAAACCGTAATCATATCATTGAGATTCAGCAACATTCATTTTTGACTTAAATAATCCATGCATTTGCACTGGATGAAAAGGGTAAAGGTGAAATAACTATTAAATGGTGGAGGTATAAATGTGTGGTTATTTTGCAAGAAGTATTTGCCATTACTGTGAGACACGCAGTTAGTCTTGATACAATATTTAGCAATTTATAATAATAATCCTTGCATTTGATATACTGTAGCACCTTAACTCATTGCTGAAACATATCAAAATGCTTAGCAAAATGTTATCGTGAAGTGTAGTATGACTGTATTTGTGAATAACCACAAATGATGCCGTTTTAGCTGGTTAAAAGCCAGCAGTACCTCAACGGGTACTCCAAGCATTGTCTCTTGTGAACCTGCCCCTAATACCCTCCAAATTAGGTAAGCGTGATCCATCTCTCTGTGGGAGAGAATTTGCATTCCATTCCAAACACGGGAATTTCCATGTGTGTGTGGGATGCATGGAACTCTTGGAATCTCTTAAGCATGGTGCTGGGTTCATGTGTCAGACACTCAGTTACCCTCCTCCAAATATTTTGTGGGTGAATACAGCAGACATTTTGCACATAGCAATGTCCCACAAGCAGCTGTGAAATGAATGACCAGTGTTATCCTAGGATTGTTGACCAGGACACCGGAGAAAACTCCCTATTGCTTTCAAATGAATTGGAAAAAAATGTTCATGTTCTTTTAAAATTTGGAGAATAGATTAATTTATTTGGTAAATTAAAACCCAGGTCACTGTTCTTTTGTTCTACAAATGGATAGAAAGTAGTAGACTGTAGATAATACCCTATATGGGGATTTGTGAAATCTATAATCAGTACAATTCAAATTGTATCAACTTAATTAAATTAATTCAAAAATGTTTACTTAAGTTTTATGCCAGAGAAATCTCAAATCAGTGTTTAGGTCAGGGTGGTCCAACTGGTGGCCTGTGGGACACTTCTGGCCCAGGGCATGATTTAATCCAGCTCGCAAACACAGTCACACTGCGTATCCAGAGCCCGGTGGGAAAAACAGAGGCACAATGTGCCAGTTAGCAGCAGAACATGTCACTCACTTTGAAAACGGGCATCAGGTGAGAGACAGAGAGAGAGAGACACACACACAAACATACAGAGATAGAGTGAGAGAGAGAGATACAGAGGCACACATACAGACAGAGGGAAAAAAAGAAAGATACACACAAACAGAGATATAATAATAATAATAATCCTTGCATTTGATAAAATGCCTTATCACATCTTCAAAACGCTCTCAAAGCGCTTCACAGAATATACTGTAAAGTGAATTGACTGTATATTTTGTGGGTGAAACGCGGCAGCCAATTGCACACAGCAGTGTCCCACAAACAGTAATGGATTGAGTGACCAATTTATTATTATTATTTTTGAAGGAATTATTATCCCCGGAAAAGTGATTCACCAATCAAACAGCCGGGTTCCTTCTTACTGCTAGGTAAATGGAGGTGTGTGAAGTAAGAAAGCTTGCCCAACATTTCGCCCTGCCAGGAAATACAGAGAAAGGCACAGGCAGTTACCTCATCGCTGGTTATATTATTATTTTTAAGTTTGTATGAATTTCTACATTGTCTGTTTAAAGTTTGCATTGTAAACAATAATGGAATTAAGAAATACGTTACACATTTTAAAACATAGGATTTCTATATGATTCCTTTGGGTTATATTTCTGAAAGGGAAATGCAAAAATATTGCTTTTGCCTTCCATGGATATTTCTTACATCCGGCATCCGGCCCACGGCAGCCAAAAGGTTGGGTCATTCTGGTGTCGGTGACAGTTATACACTGAATAAGGTTCTCTCTAATAGTTCATCGTATTATATAGACCCCTCAGAGTGCTGAGAGATTAGCTGGCAAACACTGGATGTTTGCAGAGCATTACAAGGTTTGAAGAGGCATAACCTAATTGAAAAGTAAAGTGTGGGATAGTGTCAAACAATTAAACCATTTTCTGAGATCAAGATTAGATCAAAATGATGCAATTATTTTTTGTATAGAGAAAAATAGTTTAGTTGGTAGCACCTTTGTCTCAGAAGGCTGTGGGTTCAAGACCAAAGACAGGACTTTGAATCGTTTTTTGACACTCTAGTGCAGTGATGCGGTTGTGTTGTATTTTAGGAGGTGTCGCCTTTCAAATGAGACGTTGACTTGAGGCTCCTTCTGCCTGTTCATTGGATGTTAAAGATCCTATGGCGCTATTCGAAAAGCGAAGGGAGTTTCTCCTGGCATCTTGGCCACCTATCCCTCCCAAATAAAATTGGTCATTCACTTAATGGCTACTTAATGTGAGAAATTGGATTCTGCCTTTGCCTCCAAATTACAGTGCCTAGCACTTTACAGTATGCCCTTAAAGGGCTTTGAGATGTTCTCCTGATGTGAAATGCGCTATATATAAGGATCATTATTATTACTAATTATCCAACTGGTATTTTTAGTAAGTTAATTTTGGTACCTCTAAAAATAATGTCATACAATGCTGACAAAATCATGATTATAGTTCTGTTTTACGAGTTAAGGATTTAGCTTCATAATGATTGGAAACCGAACAGAAAAACTGAAAAGTTCAAAAGTAATCTGCTGGTGATTGGTGTATGACACCACTTTTTTATTATGCTGGTCAAATGGCAATAGCCAGTTATCAAGTGGCCCAGTTCCTGCCTCCTGCAGGGCACATTACTGGGTGTTCAGCTGCCCTTGGCATGCAGATGGTGTTTGCAGGCTCACGGTGGGCATGATACATTTGTTTGATGGACCATCCCTTTGTTTTATTTCCCTCCCTATTCCATCTACCTGACTGAAATCACCATTGTACTTTCTTCCTCTCACTGCTCCATGGAGAGAATTCTGGAACACAGTGGTTGTATTTTGATTATAAGAAAAATTAAAAGTGTAGATTCAAGCAGTTAAGAAATCATAGTTTGTTGGATTGTTTTCAACTACCTAACAACAACAAATTACATTTGTGTAGTGCCGTTCACGTTGGGAGGATCTTGAGATGTGCTTTGAAGGAGGCAAGGGAGGGAGCAAAACAAAGGGACTGTGGGATGGAGCTCCAAAGTCACGGAGCAGAGAAGCTGAAGGCCCCACTGACATATGATTGAAGGAGAGGATAGACAAGACGTGAGAGAGTGGGCAGAGGAGTAGGTTGGTGGTAAAGAGTTGCCTGATGTTGTCCTTAGCCTCCAAGATTATCTGGTGTACTAGCTAACTTACATGAGTAGTAGGCAGTTCGGAAGGTGAGAGGGGCACTGGCATCAAGAGTGGCAGAGAGGGAGTTGTGGAGGAGAATGACTAAGGAGGATACATTATTGCAGGAAGAATCCCAGAGAGGGAGCACTTCAGATGACTCCAGGGCAGTGGAGAGGGAGTGGGGGGAGATTTATTTTCCAGGGGCAGTAGGAGATGGAGGTGGGTTGGTTGGCATTGGGGAGAGGGATAGAGGAGTTGAGGGAAATTAAGTTTGAGAGCTTGTAGACCTACTGTGGACCTGAATTATACTGAAAGTCCGGTACTTCTGACTTATTATAATCCTATAATAAAAAATGGTTGCCTTCCAGTGTTGTCATGACAATTCCTACACATTTCTATCCGAGCTATATGCAGAAAGTGTTTCTTATGTGATTTCCAGTGTACATTGTCAACTATGCATAAGAAGCAGCACCAACATCACTTTCTGCATCTGTGCACAGGAAGCTCTGCTGATGTCACTTCCTTTGTGAGATCAGTTGTGCTTCCTGTACATGGCATACCAGGGCAGTGGGCAGGAAGTGATGTCAGTGAGTAATCTTATCTGCATAGACGGCAATGTGCGAGATAATGCATGAAGTGACACCATCACCATGAAGGGACTTGCTGCCATTTCTTTGTCATGAATCTCTAAAATTTTGGGATTGAGATTATAAGTGTTATAACGGGGTTGCCCTGTAGTTTGAAAGAAATATTGCTGTTTTCTTATTCTATTTGTGCCCTTTATCAAATCCTTCCCTATTGCCCTGCTGGTTTCTTAACCCCTCCCTCCAATGATTTTGCTCCAATTCCCCCTTTTCCCCTGGTCACCCACACATATATACTTATGTATACTTATTCAAGACAATGTGAATGTACAGATTTTTAAAAAAGTAATTCTTTTTATTTTATTTTAGCCCGGAGGCACAGGACAAGACACGTTAGGAAGAGGGGAGGGAGAACTCAATGTGGAGGAAGGAGAACTGCCGATGAAAGTATGGGAGCAATGGGACATTGCAGAGGTACAATTAGTTTTCTATTTTAATCGGAGTAGCTTTATTGAAACTATTATGGAACAAATAACATCAATGTTTGTGAAAATAAAAATGCATCATATGTATTTATATATTCATTTGTTACAAATTGTAAGTTGTCTCGTTTCCTTTGACATTTCCTTTCAATTTTAGAAATACAGCCAAGCATTCACTGTTTCTATCAAGGTTATATTGTAAAATGAAACTCAAATGTATTGCAGCATCACACTGAACTACTAAAATACTCTCTTCTGATTTATATTTTGCTATGTACATCTTGTCAACCTAATTTGTGGAATATTTCTAGAGACTAGGTTAGAGATAATAAGAAATAATTTTTCTTTGTTCTTTGCATAATTGATTTTTGAAGTTATTGCTGTATTTTATTGCATACTATATTTCATACTTCCTGCACTAAAAATTAGCAAAGAGTAAGACAATACTATCTTTTGTGAGGAAAGTATACAAGATAGTGTTGTCAGATCTTATTGAAGTATTTTATTTACTCTATTTTTTCATTGTTTATGCTTTTCCTCTCTACCAACATGAGCGAAAAGATGGTAAAATAGTTTTTTTAACCATCATTTTACTAAACAGTTAAGAAATAATAGTTCCCCCAACTGAAATTAATGAGACTCCACATCAATCCACAGGTACCACTTCCATGTGGACTCCATGCATAGAAAATTAGTGGTTTGGTTGTGTCTGCATGGACAAACAACATTTCCTTCCTCCTTTGTTCCATGTACTCTATAATCTGCTCCTTTTTTTAAGTCATGATCTCGCTTTTCTCCTCTCTGACCATTTCTGTGTAAATAATTATTTAGTTAGGTTATTTCTCAACAAGTAATTTATCACCACAAATCTATTGTGTGATATTTTGCAACTAATGTTTTGCTCCAATAAGTCAAGATGCTTAATCTTAAACATACAGATCTTTTCTTTTTTAAAAGTGGTTCCCTCCTCATTTTTGGTGAAAATTAATTGCTTGAACAGATAGTCTTCACAAAGCTATTTCCTACCAAGCCATGCTGGATTTTAAAGATTAGCATTAACGATAAATAATCGTAATGCTCCATTTGATGTAGAGAGGATGTCTCAAAACGCTTCATATGGTTTACTGCAAAGAGTAGTGACTGTATTTTGCAGGCAAAGATTAAAGTTAATAATTGAACATTTCTTTACTTGGGAAATCATATATAATTTATAGGTCAGTTAAAGCGAATGTCAGAAATCAAATGTATTGCATTGTAATAAGCTTCTTTACAATTATAAAAAATAATTTTCTCCAAAAATGCGGAGGAAACAACTTTTAAAAAAGAAACTATCTATATGATCTACACAATACGAATCCTAACCTTTTCTTACAGTGCCTTAGCATGTCATCATTACATCTCAGAATGCTTTGCAGGATTAACTGTGAGTTATGAAGTGAATGATCAATTTAATCTGGAGAATTTTTGGTAAGGACACCGGCAGAAATTCCCTTCTCTTTTCAAACAATGTAATGAAATATTTAATGCCCATCTGAACTGGCAGACGGTGGGCTCCCCCAGCACTCCACTGAAGTGTAGCCTAAACCATGAGCTCAAGTTCACAACTTGATACATGAAGCTTGAACGCATGACTTACTGACTAGCCTAGTCTGATACCATGGCCTTAAAGTATCTTAATATAACCTTCAATTAACAAGGATTAATAATTAATCAAATCCTTGATAAATTATTTTGAATGATCTTGAAATATTGGAAAAATTGGAAAAAAGTATCAAGTGCACCTGCACAATTTTTCCATTCCAATGTACAAAGAATCAGATGATTTATTTAGCCAACCGATGATGAAATTGAAGTGAAAGCATATTTATGTTGCAATTTGTGTCGCCTCACCCTGTGCTTATAGTCACTGTTAAAAATAGGTGCGCAGATTAATTCAAATTTGGGATTCATATCATCAAAAAATTTTGCAGTCCATTCTGAAGAATAAGTAAATAGGGAGAACTTTTCCTTGAATTTCATTAAATCAGATAGACATTTGATAGGGAATTGTACATCCTGTTAACAATTTAGCAAGCATACATAATTTCCTTTAAATTAATAGGATATTGTATGTTAATTGTTATATTGGGGGCAACCTAACTCATCAACAGCCATTAGATTACCTCCAATTTTGCCACAGTTTGACTATTATAACTAGGGTCAGTGGAAATACTTTAGAATTTGTCTTCATTTTCCAAGGATAAAATCAAAGTTTTTTAAAACAATTGTATCTATATTTTCAACTTCAGAAATGTTTGATTTCCAGGTCGTCACATTAACACAATTGTGCTAAAAAATTAAATGAACAGTCCTCTCCCGCAACCAGCTATGCCTACCTCTATCTTGGCTTCACTGGCTCCCCATCTGAAGAGGAGCGATTCAAGATCGTCTTTCTCATGTTTAAATTCTTCCACGGTCTCATCCCACCAATCATATTGACCCAACTGCTCCCTTTGCCCAACAAACACAAGCCCGGTTTATGTTCCTCACCCTATCCGCCTCATCATTCTGCCCCGCTCTCTGGAACTCCATCCAGAAGTCTCTAGACTCGCTCCTTCCCCTCGTTCAAGACCCGTCTCAGGGCTTATGTCTTTGGCTGCACTTTTGTCATCTTTCCCTTCTCCACCCTAGCTCAGGTGCTCAGCCAGCAGTGTCAAGCTCTTTGAGACATTCTCCGATGTGACAGGTGCTTTATAAATGGAAAGGTGATCACTGATCAGTAACGGTAATCTCAGGTCATGAAGATGGTGCAATGCAAATTGTTCCATTTACTAGCTAGTCTTGTGCAGTTTTTAGAGGTGATGCTTGTAGTGTTGAGAATGTGTATTTTAGAATAATAATCCTTGCATTTGATATAGCACTTTTCATGTCTTCTAGACGTCTCAAAACGCTTCACAGAATATACTGTAAAGTGGATTGACAGTATATTTGTGGGTGAAACGCGGCAGACAATTGCGCACAGCAGTGTCCCACAAAGAGTCGTGGATTGAAGTACCCAATTTTAATATTGTTTTTTTTCTTGAGGGATTATTATTAGGCGTGTGGAGTAAGAAAACTTGTCCAAGATTTCGCCCTGCTGGGAATCGAACCCAGGTCGCTCGCTTGCGAGGCGAGTGCTCTAACCACTGAGCTACAGGACTTCTATTTTGTAGGTAAATGGGAGATTAAGAAAGAAAGGAAGATCTGCAAAGCTTGTAAATGATCGGGTGACCATTGGGTTAAATGGTCATCTGCTCATTTACAAGCTTTGTAGATCTTCCTTTTTCTTTACCACTGCAGAGTCCTGTAGCTCAGTGGTTAGAGCACTCGGTCTGCAAGCGAGAGACCTGAGTTCAATTCCAGGCAGGGCGAAACCTTGGGCAAGTTTCCTTACTCCACACGCCTAATAATAATCCCTCCAAAGCCAAAACCAATAATAAATTGGTCATTTTCAATCTACGACTGTTTGTGGGACATTGCTGTGCGCAATTGGCTGCCGCGTTCGCCCACAAATATACGGTCAATTCACTTTACAGTGTGTTCTGTGAAGCGCTTTGGGACGTCCTCCCGACGTGAAAAGCGCTATATCAAATGCAAGGATTATTATTATTATTTAGGGTAAGACTGTAAAGAAAAAGGAGAAAAATAGATTTTTGGGGAGCCAAGAGAGAAGTGGAAAGGAACATAGCAGAAAATGCAAAACAATACTAAAAAAATATTTAAATGTTGTGAGAGTAGTCAGGGAAGACAAGAAAACCAAAGGGGATTGAAAAAGAGAAAGAACAGGAGATATTGAATATAATAAATGACTACTTCTTGAAAGTTTTTAACAGGGAGACTAAAACCATGTCCCTGAACTCCCTCCCCCAATAGCAAATTCTGAGAGCTCCAGAACATTGACATAAATGAGTTTGAAGTTCTAGATAAGCTCAAGAAGCTGAAAACTAACTAATCCGCAGGACAGATGATCTGTACCTCAGGATATTAGAGAGACGTGTTCAAAAAAGCTAACACATTCATGTGGACCAATTAACCTGACCTCAATAATTGGAAAACTCATGGAGTCCTGCAGCTCAGTGATTAGAGCTCTTGGCTTGCAAGCGAGCAACCTGGGTTTGATTCCCAGCAGGGCAAAACCTTGGGCACGTTTCCTTACTCCACACGCCTGATAATAATACCTCAAGAAAAAAAAACAATAATCAATCCGCGACTGTTTGTGGGACACTGCTGTGCGCAGTTGGCTACCGCATTTCGCCCACAAATATAGTCAATTCACTTCACAGTATATTCCGTGAAGCGCTTTGAGATGTCTAGAAGACGTGAAAACTGCTATATCAAATGCAAGGATTATTATTATTATTAACAACAACAACAACAAACTTACATTTGCACCTTTCAAGTCAGGAGGACTTCTCAAAGCGCTGAACAGTCAGATGTTAGGGTCCGAGCATGGGGGAGGGGTGGTGTAGGGGCGAGGGAAGGCAGAGAGGTAGAAGGGAGACCAAAGGCACGGTTGAAGAGAAGGGTCTTGAGACCGGCCTTGAAGGAGGCAAGGGAGGAAGCGAGGCGAAGGGACCGTGGAATGGAGTTCCAGAGTGTGGGGGCAGAGAGGCTGAAAGCCCGGCCACCGATGGTAGGGCGGGTGGGCGGGAGACATGGAGCAGGCCGGAGCCTGATGAACAGAGGGAGCGGGCAGGCTGGTAGGGAGTCAGCAGGTTAGAGAGGTAGGAGGGGGCAAAGCCATGGATGACCTTAAAGTTGAGTACGAGGATCTTGAACTCGATCCTCTGGGAGATGGGGAGGCAGTGGAGTTGGGCGAGGGTGGGAGTGATGGGGTCGCGGAGCCTGGTGCATGAGAGTACACGAGCTGCAGGGTTTTGGATAATCTGCAGCTTGTGAAGGGAAGAGTTGGGAAGGACGATGAGGAGGGAGTACCAGTAATCAAGCCGTGAGGTGATGAATGCGTCGCTCAGG